TTTCAACCAGTATTCTATCTACAATTATTTTTTCTAGCATTACTATACTTAATTTAGGCATATTTTTAAACCTACTGGCAAAAATGAATTGTTTAATAGTAAGTATTATTATATTGTGTAATCTATACATGTTTTTATTGTTGTATTTTCCAAACAGTATATCTTTTCTATCAAAATTAATAGTAAAATGGAAGTTTTTCATAAACCACTCCTCTATATGACACCATATTCTTTTTACACAGAAACATTAAAAAAATAAATGTTCAATTGTTTCAACTTCTTGTTTACAAAATGAGCAAACAGGTGAATCAATTAGTTTAAGTTTATAAAGGTATTTATTTGTTGCAATAATCCTGTGCAGGATTTGAAATTGCATCCACTGAAATTTTGCCTCTTTTGTAACTTTAAATGGTAGTTCAAATATTTTGTTCCATTCTAACTCACCAAAAGATATTCCATTATTTTCCCATTTTTCTAATGCTTTAATTTTTTGCTTTTTCTTCTTGATGAGTATATTGTACATATCTTTACAACCACTTGTGCTTTTATAAAAAATGTAAATTGAATTTGGGATAAAAGGACCACTTTCTTCTCTTTTTTCAATATCAATATTTTTCAATATCTTTGTAACGGCTATTTTTAAACCGGTATATTCTACAAAATTAGTTTGTACATTCAGATTATTGAGGTACTCGAGGCTTATAAATTTTCCTTCAACGTCAAACAAATCTCTTATGAAAACAAAGCCTGCATCAAAATAACTTTTCAAAAATACAGAGGAATTATTTATTTTAATTCTTGGATTAAACCATATATGTTCATGAAGAATTTGAGTATTACTTGTTTTTTGACTACCACTGCAGTCAATGATTTTTACCCAATTAAGTAAAACCTCTTTCCAAAATTTGTTGCTTATTTTATTACACATCTTAACTATAAAATCTAAACCTCTTACCCAAAGAGATTCAATTTTCATTCCTAATTCTGATTCAAAAAGTTTTAACCATTTCGTGTCTGAGTAGATTAGTCTTCGAATCCATGTTGATTTTAATGCACATAAGAAATCCATATAATCAATCATTTTCAACCCCCCATTTTTATAGTCTTGGATTATAACACTCTTCTTAACCTTATGTACTTTACTTCCCCATAAAAAGTAATAAAGGTCTTTCTCAAATTCATCGAGTAATTCCTTATTGGGGTTTGGAACAGTCAATATCAAATGGTTCATCTTTGGTATAATCAGGGATTTAATCACTGTTAATCTACCAATGGGAGTCAGTTTTCTTAATTGCCATTGTTTTATCAATCGCTTTATTTCATTTAATTTTGGGGGGTAATTCAGTTCAATCATTTCATCTAAATTAATAGAAAACTTTACACCAAGAAGAACAAAAGTAGAATTATTCCAGTCTAACTTCCATCTCGAGTGATGAAAGACTTCTTTAGAGAATTTTTTACTACCGATCCACACCATTTTTGTTTTTGTAAAATTAATTTTCAGTCCAGATACAATTGCAAAATAATCAAACTCTCTTAATATACCATCCATAGACTGTGGTGATCCATCAGATATAATTGAAGTATCATTGGCATATTGTGAAAGTTTATATTCCTCCCCATCAATTACAATTCCTTTTATGTCTTTATTATTTCGAATGAGAATCCCAAGAACTTCAGCACATAGTAGAAAGAGATATGGTGAAATTGGGTCCCCCTGTCTACATCCCCTTTGTGGGAACAAGTAATCAGAGGAAATTCCATTCTGTATGACACATGATTTGATTCCATTATAAAATGTTTGTATCCAATTTTTAATGGATTCCCCAAAATTAAAAAAATCTAATGTTTGGTATATAAACTTCCATGATATAGTATCAAAAGCTTTTTCAAAGTCAATTAACATTGATAAGCCTGGAATCTGTTTTTGTTCTGTGTAATTCATTAAATCATAAACTAGTCTAATATTTTCACCTATGAATCTTCCCTTCAAAAAGCCAGTTTGGTCCTTATTCATTAATTTATTCAACACAGTTTTTAATCGTTCAGCAATACAGCCTGAGGCTATTTTATAAATCACATTCAATAAACTGATTGGGCGCCAGTTCTTTAAGAATTGTTTTTGTTTTCCTGGTTTTGGTAGGCAAGTTATTAAACCTAATTTATTTGGTTCAGTAAAGTGTGATAATTCATACGAGTTGTTTATTGCTCTTGTAATGAAAGCACCTAAATCCTGCCAAAAAAATTTGAAAAATTCACAGGTGAACCCGTCTGGTCCAGGGCTTTTCTCAATGTCCTTATGTGATTTATTTACAAACTGGACACAGACTGGCCGAGGATATTTCCTATGTTTGTCGTATTCCCCCATTCGGAACACTTTATATATCTGTAGGCTATCAACAGTCTCTGCCGGTATCTCTATCTCTACTGCAAACACGTTACTAATGATCTTCACAATGTTTTCAGGATTTTTTATTTCGGGCGCCTTTTCGTCTACTCCACTCACAATGATATTGTCTTCAATTGCTCTAGATCTTAGCTCTAGAATCTGTTCACTTTGAGTCTTTACACAATACTCCAGTCGAACTATGTAATCTTTCATTCGGCTAAGTTCTCTTTCCGTCTTCTTCTGTTTTTCCTGCAGTTCAGTGGTTATATATATCGTATCGTTCGCCTGTTCTTGTACGTTTTCTAATCTCTCCTGAATGCCATGTTTTCCTCTAATGTCCTTGGTAACTTCGTCTAGATGGCGACCTTGTCCATCAATCCTTAGTAGAAGGTTTGCAAGAGTATTTTGTATATTAGTTATACCGTGCATGACATCTCTCATCTGAAAATTTTCACATTCCTTTGAAATTTCTTCATCACTAGTACTGGTGTTAATGGTGTTAGTGTCCATATCATCGAGCGCTCTCTTTTTAGACTGGGTCAATTGACTAGCCATATTTCACAATGTAACAGTGGAACGTATGAGTATCGCTTACTAGTGTTCACAAACAGATATGTTTACAAATTTTGTTTACCTTCTCGTTCCTCGCTTCTATTGCATTTTTTTGGTCAAAACACACTTCAACACACTTTAAAACATCTTTGAATATCAGCAATGCATTTTTCAAGATCTGAAATTAATTAAATTCGAGGTTTTTGGACTACACTTTGCTCTCGATAAAAACTTACGTCTACATGTCGAGCATGCGCATGCGCTGTTCCAGACTTTTTTGATAATGACATATGCCTTTACATCCAGTGCTATGACTGCAGAACTGTTCATCACAATTACACTTTGACTGACAATGCTTTCCATAGGTAGGATATTTGCAGGGTTGATCACAGCTACTGTCATTATAACCCTCCCTACACTCTACAATATATACAGATACAAGTTTCTAGATCTTTAAAACATACATTTACTTCCTAATATAATATTATGCTACTTTTTTTATATGCCCCATTCAATAAAATATTTTTATTACAACATATTGATGCATTCCCCTTTAATCCTAAAATTGCAATAACTCTGAGAAATTCTGAGAAGTCTGATAAAAAAAATTCAAGTTATCTTAAATAATTTATAAAGGCAAATTCATGTACGTCTCTCTCTCTCTCTCCCTCTCTCTCTCTCTCTCACCGAATAACTGCAATAAAACCAAGCACGATAGTGCTGGAAAGTGTCGTGTTCGAGCATTTTCTGCATACTATCTAGGTACATGTATATTTATTTGATCCACCAGCTATTAAGAAAGTATTTCTTATCAGTATAAATGTTTTTTATTCAATAATTCTTTCAATTCCAGTTATAATTCTGCAAATTTTCTTTCTTTCTTTCTTGTCAAATGAACATTATAATTTACGAAAGAACGCAACATCGATTATGATTCGTATATTCATTTTTTCTTTATTTCACATGTTGATGTAGCTATGTAAAGAAAAAAAAATTATACTAAGAAAGTTTTTTATCGTTAAGTAATAGAATAAAATCCCATGTTTATATTTTTTCTTGTTCTTAGGCTTAAAGCTTTCAAAAGCTAAATAAACGATTGAAGGTTTTAACGAAAATCCATTTATTTCATATTTTAAAACATTGGTCTATTGTTATTAATTTGAAAAGCTATCAAAGATTTAAATATCTATGTTCTATAGAAGGAAAAATCGTTAACAATGCAATATCATTTTCATCACACTGTTTTTCCTTGACGTCCATTATCTTCATGGGAGAACATAAAGGATCTTGAAATAAAAACCTACATGCTTGGAATAGTAAATAGTAAATTGAAGGTGGTCATGCATTAGAGATGAGAAAAAGGTATTCCGGTATACCCTTTCCTAATTAAGTTAAATTTCATTAGTATAAAGCCAGTGTATTACATTCTTAAGAATGCTAACAAGCTAAAGGGCAACCCTGTCTCCTCTCGAATTATGCAAATTCTTTGTGATATATGATATAGACTGTGTGATCTTGAATTAGCATACCTCGACATCCGTTCACTTGATCACAGTATTCCTTTTCACAATAGCACATTGACTCACAATACATACCATAGTCTGGATAGCGACAGGGGAATTCACATCTTTTATATCGATATCCTACATTACAACCAACATCTAATATGAGAGAAAATTGATGTGAATTCTTTAAAATTTATATTACATATCACATTTTCATAAATTGTTTAATTTCAGGTTTTTCTTATAGTTGAATTGTCAATTTCCTGAGTATTTGTATATCTACAGTTCATTCTTTTATCAAATGAATTTTTGCCGTATTTCTGCAAAAGGATATACATTGTAGACATTGATTGTTTTTGTTTCAAAGAATGAATTCTTTGTTATATGAATATGTATACTCCTTGATATCAAAAAGTTGCTCTCTGTAGGTGTGTGTGTGTGTGTGTGTGTGTGAGGGAGGGTGTGTGTGTGTGAGAGAGAGAGAGAGAGAGAGAGAGAGAGAGAGAGAGAGAGAGAGAGAGAGAGAGAGAGAGAGAGAGAGAGAGAGAGAGAGAGCTACTTACTGATTGCTGGGTTGTTCAAACAAACTTCGTCCAAATACATTTATTGCAATAATACATAACAGCTTCCAAATATTAATTTAAATAAAATTAAATAAATAATTGACATTCCTCCTACAAAAGTATTCTCAATTTCAAAATAAAAATACTAATTATACAATTAATGTAAAAATTTTAATGACAGCCAAATCAGAAGACTTTTGTACTGGTAATAATACTTTAAACTCCCACTTTCTTCATTTATGATCCCCTGAAATTCCTCTAAATACACGATACCAATGTGGTCGAAGTATTGGATAGCCTCAGCGGATATGCAAAGTGCGTTGAATAATACGACCGATGCGAAAAAGAAAACAGCGTTAATTATAAAGCGCAACATTTAATTAAGCTAATAAGCGCAACATTTAATTAACCTAATAAGTGCAAAATTTAATTAAGCTGATAACTGAGTTTTTTCTTCCCAACAATGGACAAAAATTGTTTTTTTTAATTTCTAGTAAAGCGTTTCAATCTATTCTTTTGAATGATAAAATTTATTATTATGTAAAGGAGGGATGAGAAAATTTGTCATGTCTATACTTATGTTCATGCAGGAAGAAATAAGATAAAAGGATAATCAAAATGTCTTAGAAAACTTAAATAAAAGGGACATTTGTACATGTAAAAAAAAACTTTTCTCGAGAACAACTCATCAGAAAGACAGAATGTATTTGAAAGCTCCTGGACACTGTTTTAATAAAAATTCTAAGAAATCACATTTTTCCATTGATATAGTGTGATTATTTATAAATGTATAAAGCGTATGATAATATTAAAATTATTTAACTTTTGAAATACTCGTAGAAGAAGGCATTACATGATCAATATTATTTTTTTCTTATTCTTTATGGAACAAATGAATGATAATGGCCTTGACCTGACCTTGCTCGTAAATAACACTATTAAATTTAATTCAGTTGCCACCATCACATTTCATTTCATTAATTTTTTTAATTAAAAAAAGAAAGGATTGTTATGAGAAGAATCCCTCTTTTAACCAATCCTGTGCACATGAAATATGCTGACTGCATGTATCGACGTTTCTTCATTTAACAACTAATTATCATGCAACTCGACTTTAAGCAGATTTGAAGGAAATATATTTTTATTTTTTAACCAGAAACAAACATACTCTGTCATTTCAAGAACGTTTAAATGAATCAACATGAAGCTGAAATAAAAGTCGCTATCGAGTAAACTCCTGATGTAAAGAACTACTAATATTTGACACCGGCATTCATATACGGTTCTTTCCGGGAAATTTGGTTTATAGATAGCACGTAACTTGAAAATTTGATCACATTTTCCTGTTCTAAGTATTTTTTTAATTCCTATTGGCAAACAGATGTGTATTTATGATTTAAATTTATATCAACAATTACCTCTCTTTTATGAATCAACGACAGAAAAAAATATTTGAAACCTTTCAAAGATAGTCCTTTTTTACTTGCTTTAAATGTCTTTCAACAAAAATATCTCACACATTACAGATTCTACTTATTAGAGATCAAACATGTATCAATCATAATCGTCAGAATTCTTCTTTTTGTTACACTTCAATATATTTCTTTTAAACTGTTTTATTTGCTTATTTTATATGTCCTCGTTTACACTTAGAAGTTTTGAATGCCATCACATTTTAAATCGTTGTAAATAATCATAAATACAGAGAAAATACATGTAAATAAATGGCCTATCCTTGGTGCGCATTATTCAATCTGATACAATTGTTCGAAGAACAATTTATGTACAGAGAGCACATTAAAGTACAGATGAATATAAAATAAATGAAATATAAAAATTGTGTGATGTACAGCGGTTGAGGATTGTAGAATTTTGAAATACATGTATATAAAGTAAATTGATGAAAAACTGCAATAAAACCAAGTACGATAGTACTAGAAAGCATGGTGTTCGAACTTTTTCTGCCTTTTGTCGAAGTACATTTATTTGCCCCACCCGTTACTAAGAAAGTCTTTCTTATCAGTATAAATTCTTTTAATTTTGACAATTAGTTAAAGAGATTTAGTTTTAATATTTGCAAATATTAAAATTCTGCATTTCCTTTTTTCCTGCAAAAAACCTGACATTTTTCGATAAAAAAGGATGATGGAATTTTAAAATCTTCTTCATAATCTTACAATTTCTTTCTTCACCTTCACAACCAATGATATAATCACATTCTTCTTCCAAGCAGTCGCACGTTGACTGACAATATACACCATAATTTGGATATGTGCAGTTATATTCACAACTTTGTCCCCTGGAACCCGGTGAACACTCTGTGAAAAAAAGAGAGAAGGAAATAGTTCTCTGATCATGAATTTGAGCGACCTTTAAAGAAGATTTGAATACCATCAGAATAAAGCTAATGTATTAAATGATCTTTAAGAATGCGGACTAGAGAACCCCATTATCTTTTCGAATTATTTAAATTCTTTGTTATATAATATAAACTGTATGTATTTGAATTAGCATACCTCGACATCCGTTCACGTGATCACAGTATTCTTTTTTACAATAGCACTTTTTCTGACAATAGTTACCGTAGGATGGATAGCGGCAGGGTAACTCGCAATTCCCATCTATATGTCCTAAATAACAGTTCATGTCTAAAATAAAAGTTTGTTAAATATTTAAAATATGTTACATACTATGGTTTCATGAAGTGACATGCATGGGTTAATTGTCTTGTTTTACTAGTTCTATTTCCCGCTTCATCTCTTCTCAGAGAGAGAGAGAGAGAGAGAGAGAGAGAGAGAGAGAGAGAGAGAGAGAGAGAGAGAGAGAGAGAGAGAGAGTACAATTAAAAGAGCAATACTTACTTTTAGATAAGTTTTTCAAATCAATTTCTCCAGCCAAGTAAATAAATAGCACAAATACATAACAGCTTTTAGGTAATACTTTACACATATTGCCACATCTGTTCTCTCAGTATCAAAAGCTAATAATGGAATCATAAAACTGCAAATGATTACGAGATCCTTAAACAAAACTATAATATCCTGTTCATCTAGAAGTCTGCAAACTATATAATTAATATGCTGTAACAAGCTTGATTTTATTCATTTTTGCAAAATAATCACCACTTAGTACCAATACGTGGAGGCGAGCCCCCCCCCCCCCCCTTTAAACCAACTTATATAGTATACAATAATTCATTCAAGATGCGTAATTAGCGTACATTTAATCATTAATCATATTTGACAATTTAAGAAAATCATTCTTATGTTATACATACGAAAAATAATGTGTTAATCTACCTTTACCATGGCCCTGACCATTACTTAGTATAAACACCAAATTTAGATGGTTATTAAAAATTTCAGAGATGTGATTATTAGTAAATCACTGAGTAAAAACTCAGTCGTTGCATATCAGTGTAATGGTTTGGGCCGTAGATATATTAATTGGCCTGGATAGCTAAGTTGCTAGAGCACCTAACTGGAGATGCAGGGGTCCCGGGCTCTATTTCCGGTCCAGCCATACATTTTCTCCGCTCTATTGAAGATTTCCTGCCGTCAACCACCTCTATATTGCAGGTGAAAGTCCTGCTAGGAGGTTATAAAAACCTTGTAGCTTGTTATAATGATAGTCTCCGAGGGCGAAGACAACTTAAGGAGGGAGGAATATAATGGTTCGGGTAGTGGATATCGTCCTGGATAGCTAAGTTTATAGAGCATCTGAGTGGAGACGGAGGGGTCCCGAGTTCTATTCCCGGTCCAGCCATACATTTTCTCCTTTCCTGTTACACCAGTAACCTGTACTGAAAAGAGACAATACCGGTATTTTTTGTGTCCTTTTTAAAGCATCATCAATTGTTTTTTCTTGCTTGGTATTTTATTGTGTGTGTGTGTGGGTGTAGCTTTACCGCTTTGAAAAATATTGCTACGGGGCCCTTTTTATGTTTGCAACTCTTATTATGATCGAGGAAATTAAAACTTACGAGATCGTTTCTCACTGTCCACAGAAAAGACCAATCTCATAGACGGCAAGGTGACACCTCGTCATCAAAGAAATTGGCCAACAGATATATTTCTGTTGACAGTCAGCACCAAACCTAAAAAAGTAAAAGGGTCATGGTCTTACAATTTGCAAGATGTTTCAGGTTTTAAGAGTCAGAAAAAAATCTGTATAGAGAATCTATTACATAGTTACTAGCTGATGTACTAGACCTTGGATAAAACTAATAAAGATATCAACATAATAATATTTCTCTGCATATCAATAAGACATCTTAACTAATTAACTAATTGAAAAATTTATGCATCAAAAGTAGAAATTCTCGAAAAAAGTTTAATATCAATAGAACACTTTCATAGGAAAGATTTGACGTAAACATTCGTAGCCTTTGTGGCACAGCCTCTGCTCTAGTATATAGAAGTAAGGAGTAGATCCTTACGTCGCGGGTTCGAATTCTACTGTGGGACGTGGAGATCGATCTTTCGAATGAGACCGTATGAACCGAGGTCCCGTGGCGCAGTAAGTGCTGGCACGAAAATGACACCTCTCTGATTAATGAAAGCCAAGTATAGAACAAAGTTTGAAGCTCTCCAGTTTGCAGCAAGTGGCTGTGTCTCCAAAAATATTTTTGAGAGGGAGGTAAAAGAACATACAAACAAACAAACATAAACATTTTATCAGAAAGCAGATATATGAACTTGCTTTTGGAATCAAACACAACAAGAACATGATGCATTACAGCAAATGACAAAAATGCTTTCAAACAAATGTAATTTTTAGGTCCTTTTAAAACTTTAACTACATGTAGTCTTTTACGTAGAGACAAAGCAGTTTTTCCTCATGTTCCTTGTAAAGGAAGTATAACTTATTTTTTTTATTTAAAGGAAGCTATTAATTCTATTCAATAAAATGAAAGTGTTTGCTATTCCCAGTGTTAAGGATTTCCTTATTTGCTCAAAAGAGTTTTCATGATAAACGTTTAAAAACATCTTAATAGAAAACACGACTAAACGCTGTGGTCCTTTTTTGTTATTGAAACCATAATTCTGCACGAAAAATAATTTCAAAGCAAAGATTTTAACAATAGGGACCAGTAGCTTCTCTACACGAACTTTAATAATGATATTTTGCAACAAATGAAAAAGGTGATGATAACAATCTAATTAAAATTAGATGTTAGATCCGCTCGCATACTCGCTACACTAACATCTAACAACATCCCATAGAGGGTCACGTCAGTGGTCAAATTCGGAACAACTCTAGAGTAATTCGCTTCGATTACGTCGACATATATCCGATGATTTTGCCAGTGACAATTTGATTGGTTGATAGATTTTGAACTCTGATGTGACCCTCTATGGAATGTTGTTAGATGTTAGTGTAGCGAGTATGTGAGCCGAACTAACATCTAATTTTAATTAGATTGTAAAGATAACGAACTGTTTAATCTATCTGAAAGAAAATATAATCAAACAAAACTATGAAAACTAAAAAAAATTAATTATAGAGAAGACTTATTGTAACTTCTTACCACCACATCTCTGTAGATAACAAAAAGAATCTGGATTAGAAAACTAGTAAAGGTCTATATCAATGGTGGCGATGAAGTGTCAAAAGTGTTTGTAGCAATCATTGATATCGATCATGCACAATAAAGCCATGATATATAAAGTCTCTTTTGATATACAAGTTACTACTTTGGAACAGTTTTAGATAGTTTTATTTGTTAAATAACCATTCACATTCCAAACCTGTGTTCTCATTTTTGTCAAATAGAGCGCCGCCATATCAGGTATTCATTAAAAGAACAAAAATATATGAAAGCTTCCGAAATATCCTTTTAACAAGTTGCTTCAATTGATTCGGAAAAAATGGTTAATGTTATTTAATGAATCACTGTTTAGTTAGTATAGTATGCCAGGGCATCAACGATAGTGGGAAACATGGGATAATTGGCATAGCAGACAAAGCCCTTTATGCATAAATTATGCCATGTTTCCCACTATTGTTGTCCCTGGCATACTATACTAACTAGACAGTGATTCCTTATATTACCATTTCATTGTGAAATAAAATTGTAGATTTAGACTTTAAAATGTAGAACATAAACTTAAATTAAAACGAGGACTCCCATGCAAATTTCAATGGTCCTCGCCCACTGACGTCAAAAACAAAGGCAGTCGCACGAGATTTACATGCATATTTGGCCTTCTTAGCGCCAAATAAACAGACAGATGCGCATGAGAGTTGCATGCATATTATATTTCCTCAGCTCTTGGCCTATCGACCTCCCTAATTTATATTCCTAATTTATATTCCGGTAGAATTATCAAGAAATATTTACGCTACCCGTGACTGTAGAGGCATAATATGTGGTAATGATTAGGGAATTCTTTTATAATGCTGTTATTCATCAATTTTAAAATTGTGCTTTCTAAGGAAGAAATTCTTCAAAAATCACCTGTCAGTTTTGAATACTTTTAATATTCCACAGAGCCAAAATGAATTTGAACTACCTTATATATATTTGATTCCGAAACTTCATAAGAATCCTTACAAACAAAGATACATAGCAAATTTCAGTAAATGTTCAACCAAGCCTCTTTTGTTACTTCTCACTAAGATATTGACAGTAGTGAAGGAAAAACTTCAAGAGTACTGTGCAACTACATATTCAAAAAGTGGTGTAAATCAGATGTGGATACTTAAAAATTCTAAAGAACTTTTGGACAATTTGAAATCACAAGAATTTACAAAAATCAACAGCTTAAAAACTTACGACTTTTCAAATTAAAAATTAAAATCCAGACTTTTTGATAACATTGACAGCTGCTTCTTCAATAAAAATGGAACTCGTAAATTTACTTACCTCGTCACTGGTCATTTGCCAATTTTAATTTGTTAAAACAGATTCTGATTGCACACATAAGTACTCTGAAGTTGACATCAAGAAGATGTTTGAGTTTCTGATTGACAATATCTATGTGGTTTTTGGAGACCAGGTATTCCAACAATCTATTGGAATTCCCATGGGTACAAATTGCGCTCCGTTAGTAGCAGACTTATTTTTATATTCATATGAAGCAAAATTTATGCAAAATCTTATACATGAAAAGAAGAAAAATACTTGCTGTGGCCTTCAACTCGACATTTAGGTATATCGACGACGTATTGTCAATTAATAATGATAATTTCCATTCCTACGTCGACACGATATATCCCGGTGAGCTTGAGATAAAAGATACCACAGAGTCCGACACTTCTGCTTCATACTTGGATATTTTACTTGAAAAAGACACTAATGGTAATCTAACAACCAAGCTATATGATAAACGTGATGACTTTAACTTTTCTATCGTCAACTTCCCTTACTTATGCAGCAATATACCTTCATCATCTACATATGGAGTATATATATCTCAGTTGATTCGATACGCAAGAGCATGCTCTACGTATGAAGAATTTCTTAAACGAGGTAAATTACTGACAAGCAAGTTGATGAAACAAGAATATCAACAGTTCTCGTTTAAAGTCAACATTTCGTAAGTTCTATGGTCGATACAATGACCTTGGCAGCAAATACAATTTATCATTGAGTCAAATGCTGACTGACGTTTTTCATACCAATTGTTAGTCCACTATTTATTCACTGAATTGACGACGGATTTTTTCTGTTATTTCCTGATCACGACAACGAGCATACGACGGGTGTAACCGGTCGGCAGGGGATGCTCACTCCTCCATGGCACCTGATCCCACCTCTGATATTTCGGAGGTCCGTGTTTGCTCTGCTCTTATTTTGTATATTGTTTAATGGACTTTGAGATTGAATACTGTTCGTTATCTCCATATCCTTCTTTCTTTTAAAACTGAAATTAGTATTATACTCTTATATATTTCAATTTATTAAATAAAGAAAATGAAAATGAAGAAACAATAGGTATGAATTATTACTACAAACAGGTACGAAAAATGGAACTTCTTTTTCTCACTTGGTTGAAAACTTCATGACAAACATTATTTGTGAACCATATCCATGCTATTTCCTGCAAGTAGAGAGAAGTAGAGAGAAAAAAAATTAGTCCAAACCATCCAGAAGTCCAAGAAGAAGTCCAAATAATTCGTGATTCCTACAATGGACACGATAAAAGAATTATACAGGAAAATCTTAAGAACAGTCAATACTCTACAAAATAAAAAAAAACAATAACATTCAAACAAAGGTTATTAAGTAGTAACAAATTACCTTCAATTTTGATCAATAATATGCAACAATATGACGCATATAAAAACTCAATTCGTAGACAATGTAAATTGTGTACATAACATATGTATTACTGACGTTTTTTTTATTTAAGAGAAAAATACGTATATTTACTTTATAACATTTAAATAAAAACCAGTGCAGACATTATTATACATTGGCACTTATACCACTATTAACCCCTTCTACCTTTGAGGATCCACTTTATATCTTTGATTTCCTAGTGGTCGACAGCCTTCTGATCACACTGGTGAAAACGTTAATACCATCGATGGAGTAAAAACGCGTTGATGGCAAATAGCCAGTCAATGACTCGTTTTTATTTTTTCTTGCAATGAGTATAGAAAGGTTGCTTGAAGCATGGATTGACCGTAAGTGCATTTCATTGTATTGAATTTCACTAAAATTAAATGTACATGTATCTTCATGAATGAAATGACATTTTAAAGAATATAATTGCTCTGTTCAATAAATCAAATTTCATTTGCAGAGATATGGACACTTAATGAGAACGAGTGTTTTAAATTGTATTAAAGATCTTATAACCTATAAATATAATCCTGTTAAATGCATGAGAAGATGTCGCAAAAAGAATTCCAAACATTAACATGATATTCGTTATTAAGTAACACAAGAATAGATACATCACTTTGTTTAGTTACCAACTGCAAGGGAATACAATTGATATTTTAAAAAAATTATTACCAATCACTTTGATAATGCCATACCTTTACATCCAGTGCTATGATTACAATACTCTTCCTCACAATTACACGTTGACAGACAATCCTTTCCATAGGTAGGGTAGTTACACGGTTGGTCACAGCTACTGCCATTATAACCCTTCATACACTCTATAAGGAATATTGCAAAACTTTTTTTGATATGCAGTACAGTTAAGGTGCGCGTAGAAATATCGACAATATTTTGTAATTAAAAATTCATTATTAATCGGAAAGGCGGTTATTTTTAGTACTATTTACATATCGGATAATTGGTATTATGGTTAATAACTATATATTGAGGACAATTAGATTTTATATTTAGACTTGTCATGTGATGTGGCAGTCACTTGATTTAAGCACATTTACTTGCAGTATTGAGGTTACCTATAAATTTCACTAGTGTAAGGGCATAACCCAGGTAAAATTCTAACTTTCTAAGTTTATTAATATTTTCAACAAGTATTGGAGATTTTGAAAAGTGTTTCATTGTTAAAATCCTATTTGTATGACCGAATGCTGTATATTTTGCTGGTCAAAGCCATGAAATATTGATATACTTAAATTGTTTTCAAGATTTCATCAGGATCACAGCACTTTTCAGATACCTTGATACTTCTAGAATTGATTTATAAAAGCTTACTATGATCCACTGAATGTATGTCCTTGCACTAGATCGATTTATAAAGATCCCCACAATACGGCCCGATGTACTTGCATACAAATATACGGCATTATCAATTAAATACGAAATATACAATAAATATATCAATAAAATCGTGATAAATACATTGAATCCAAGTTAATGACCTATAGAATAACTGTAAGTAAAATTTTAATCAATTATAGAATATATTTTCGTTGATAAAATATTACTTGAACTGCTTCTAACTGCATATAAACTGCATCACGTTTTACGAAATGACGTCACATCGCCAAGTGGATTGCAATCAGTGACTTGTTTATAACTTGTTATGTGGCATTTAACTATCGGCAAATCAGCATGCTGTAGTAAATTATAATATAATTTGATGGTTTCCCACAGGTTGAATTAGCAAATCACCTCATTTTGTGGTATTTCTAACATTTGTTGGTTTTTAGAGGATTTCATAGTTAAGCTTTCCCATACAAATTAGGCTCTGTCCCCTTTTTCTAACAATAACTGTGCTATGTATGAATAATAATGTAATATTTACATAACACATTTGTTTTGAGTAAAATGTTATGAAATATATGGCACTCAAAACGCCATAACACGAAAAGAAGTTCAAAAGGCTAAAACGTGTTTTAATTTGTCGTCAAAAACGTTGAACTTCAAAGAAGTGTAATGTTATAAGCGTAAATAAACCTTAGCTACTGCCATTTTATCCCTTTATTCACTCTATACGGAAGATTTGTGTAACTTTTTTTATGACGAAAAAGTCATTGTTTTAAATTTATTTTGATTTTGTTTTAAATTTATTAGTTACCATATTAATAATGTTTACATTTAGTATTCCGTTCCTCACGTTTATGTAAGGAGCAGTTAAGTTATCAAAAATAGTCCTAAAAGTATCTCTGAATCCACAAAGTTATGTAAATTTATCCACAGTATTTCTTTAAAATTAAAGATTAAAGTTAATCATATTATATAGGGAAAATTGTCAAATCTCAAATATTTTTGCAGAAAAGGCGAATTTGAATATCAGCAATGCATTTTTTAATTGCAAATTGGTCAGTAAATATATTTTAGGTTAAAAAAAGATAGGTATCCGGGCATTCAGAGAAATTGTCATGATTTTTTATACTTATTTAGTATTTTTTGTCTTCTATTTCCGTCATGTATTCCATAATACATAGTGTGAAAGGCTTTTGCTATCATTGCAAGACACCACAAATCACTTCTTATTTCATATCATGCTAATAAGCATTGGTATCTAAGGCTGGATTCAAGAAAATCTTATTTCTTTAAAACTGTATTATATTTTGTGTGTAGGGTACAAATGTCAACTTTTATAAGACATTTTCTAAGACTTCCAAAAAACCTTGAATCTTATTAAGATGAATAAAATGAAAATTGTTCCAAGAAGAAAAAATCATTTTCAAGCTTCATTTTGATGCATTTCAAACATTAATTTTTGGAGAAATCCTTCCTGGCTGAGGATCGGATATTCTTAAATATATATATATATATTGAATATAAAATAGATAAAAATCTAAGGCATTTCAAACACCATTACACGGAAATCCTGTGCTGTCGTATCGTGCATGTATACTATCGTATCGTGCGTGTATCCTATCGTATCGTGCGTGTATTCTATCGTATCGTGAAATAGAGTTTTTAAATCACCAAATTTACAATTAAATTTTGTATCATGAAATCTGCTTCACATACACATGTATTATCAAACACACACTGTAAATGACTTTTGTACGTGTATTACTGACTACTTTGATAATGTCATACCTCTACATCCATTGATATGATCACACTGCTCTTCTCCACAGTAACACTTTGACTGACATTTTTTTCCATAGGTAGGGTAGCTGCAGGGGTGTTCACAATTACCGCCATAGTATCCCTTCAAACATCCTTAAATTTTAATGTATCAAGAAAACTCTTACTAGTATTTGATGCTTTGGATTTTATTTTTGTATTATTTAAAAGTCTGTAAATATCTATTATCAAATAGTTTATCATGTTTCCTCAACGGTCTAAAAGATGTACATGTATAATCATATACACAGATAGACGTTTTCTATTTCTTTAATAGCATACTTTTACTTCCTTTAAAATATTATATAAGGCTTTTATATTCCCCATTCAATTTAGTGTTTTTTTTTCAATAAACATACTGATACACTCTCCTTCGATCCAATAAGTGCAATAACTACGAGGAATCCTGAGAAGTCTGAAAAATACAACAAAAGTTATCTTAATTACGTTTATAAAGGCAATGTACGTGCATCACAGTCAAACATATTTCTTGTTTGTGTGAGTGTGAGGAGAGTGTATGTAAGGGTATGTGAGAGGGTGTGTGAGGGAGGGTGTGTGTGTGTGTGTGTGTGTGTGTGAGAGATAGAGAGAGAGAGAGAGAGAGAGATGTAAAGGTGAAAAATGGTAACTATGACAGCTATGAAAATATAAATCAAGGAAGGCTAAACATTTTACTTACAGTGGATGCAGCTGATTGAAACTTTCCCGTAAACATATGATCACAATGATAACTGATCGATAACAGTATCTGCTACCCATATCTTTGTTCTCTACTACATAATATACTACATTAATTTTGCAAAGAATGGCAAACTATAGGCTTGAATTCCCGTAATACAGACCTCCGTCATTTGTGTATGACTCAAATGACTTTTTTCTGAATATCATGCAAACAAATTTCTTTTTATAACATATATATTCCTACTTCATAAACACTTACAGAAGAAACGGATGTCTCGATAACATTCACTTTATAGATATAAATATATATATTTCTGCAAACGACAGGAAGTTATATTTCAGTTTAGAACAACGAATCCCAGTACTTACGATCCTCTTCTTAATAAAAAAAATATACATCTGGTCTTTTTAAAGCATTTACAAGATTAAAAATTTATCAATGCGTTTTTGAAAAAAAAAAACATTTACTCTGATTCAGGCAAAAGTTTAAAGAATGAAACATAGAGAAAGAAAAGTATTCAAGATCAAAAGTCTATAAAACAATTCAAAATATATAGGAGCAGAGCAAACACAGACCTTTAAAACATCAGAAGTGGGATCGAGTGCCATGGAGGATTGAGAATCCTCTGCCGAAAAAACAAACAAATATGCAACATTACCCTGTATTTAATCTTCAAAGGGTCCTCTGCGTGGCGCATGGTTAAACAAACAAAATGTGGATTTAAAAAATCCAATGGATTTCAAAAAAACATTAATTTTCCATTTTTTATGTTCGAAACTTAAAAACCGACGACTTTTGTAAATTTCAATTATCCATTTCTCATGATTAAAAGACTTGACTTTTGAAATAATAGACAACAATAAAATGGAACTTGGGAATTTTTGTGTCGTCTGACTAATCACCAACAAAAAGCATTAGTACTTTGTTGAATATCAATATGGGGCTACTCTGAAGTTGAAACTGAATTGATGCTGGAGATCTTCATTGACAACATAGATATGATATTTGCAGACCAGATCTTCTTACAATCTGATAAAATTACAATGTGTACTAAATGAAATTCTTCAATAACCGATCTTTATTTTTACATACCCCGGAAAGGAGATTTATTTAAGAATTTCTACAATAAAAGAAGAAAATCCTTGATTTAGCATTCGATTTGGCTTTCAGAGTTTATTAAGTTTCAGATTTATCAATTAACAATAATATGCATTCGAATATCGACTCGATATATATCTGTAAATATACATTAATGAAACCACACATATTCTGTCACATCCGTTACACTGGTGGATGTTTTACTGACTTTGTGTTAAGTGTTAGATTACAACTAAATTGTATTCCAAACGATATGTCGTCTGTTCTCCCATCGACAACTTTCTTTATTTATATATGGTCATTGTATCATCAAGTGCATATTATGTTGAGGTCTCCTAACTTATTCGAAACTAAGGAGCATGCTCTAAGTACAATGAATATTTGAAGGCGGACTTCTGACAAATAAATATATGTAGCAGGGATTTTTATAACCTTCTTTAAAGTAAACATTTTATAAGCTCTTTCGACTTTATAATAACCCTGTAAAAATACGCAACCTTATATTTCAAGTCATTTTGCTGACGATTTTAACTAATGATTTGGCTTTTTAAAATATAAACTTATTTGGCTATATCTCCCTGACCAGTAGTAAGGGTATACTTCGAATGTGACTGTGACATAAATGCTTACTCCTCCAAGCCCTGTTTTATGACCTTCGCGAAAGCTTTATATGTTTTGTGACTATATTGCTTAAATAATTTTTTATAATCTCCCCTTATTCATGTTAAAGACTATTTCTTGAAAAGAGGGAAATTCAAGAAATGGAAAGAAAAATGCGTCAGTTATTTCTTCTCATGAGAGACCGGATCCTCCCCCTCCCCAACCCCCAATTTGTTCCTCCCACGATAACTTTGTACATAAAGCTTTAAAAACTCCCTTACATAGTGTAGGTTATAATTTGTTCATATGTTAAGTCCAATACCACGATAGAGCTTTGGACATAAAAACATGTTGGAACGAATCTCTAAATTCCCTCTTTTCAATGCAATAGGACCTTGCTTAGGCATGATGATTTGCAACCATTCTCTGGAGGTGCTAATTTGTTTAGCATTTTAAGAACCAAGCTAGCATTTATGAATGCATAATTTTTGTATATGGATAAATCGATATAAATGCTCTTATGCAAAAAAAATCATTTACTGTCAATTTGTCTGCAACTAACAAACATAAATCCAGAAGCTCCCCGTGTAAAATACCATATGCCACAGTTATATGCTTTTATTATTATTATTATTTAAAAAAACCAATAATATCCTCCTGTCTTATTTATGCATTACCTATCGAAAAAAAAACAACATGAATCCATAATACTTAATTTCTTAATTGCTTCTTTTTATTGGACTTTACTTATAAGTGCTGACTTTTACAATGTACGGTAGCTCTTTTACGATAAAAATATTAAGCTCAACATTTAATTCAACGAAAATAACTGGAGATTTCAAAGCACAAATAAGTAGTCTTTGAAGAAAACGAACACTCTACCCTCAACACCACATTCAAGATCACTTTGAAAGGTTTCTGATCTATCATTATTTCTGTACCACCGTACAGAAAACAGGTTTAAACGTCAAAGTAAACCGTCAACTGTAAAAGTCAGTGCTGTTTACAAACAAAGGTCCACTAGGAAAAATATATATACTAAATATAAGACGCAGAAAATAAAAAAATTATTGGATTCTTTTAATCAAATAATCTTTTTCCCAGTAACATGCTTTAAATATATTCACACCTTCTTTTAATATCTATTTTACATATGTATTAAGGAAAAAGAAAGATTTCAAGCAATACTATCACAAGCAGTAATTCAAATCATTTAAAACAATCATGTATCAACATCAACATTATACGTTTCAAAACCTTGTAATGTACAACAAGCAGGGTTTGTATAAAATTGAAAAGTACAGATAAAAAGTAAATTGAATGATTGCAATCAAAGTAAGTACTATGGCGATGGATATCATGGCGTTTGAACCTCTTTTGTCATCTTCATTGATGTACAGTTTTCTTTCCTACCCGCTGAGAAAAAAATATTTTGAATCATATACTATGAAAGCTAAATTTTAATTTTTCTTTTCAAAATCTGTTGCAACGGGATAAGCATGTTCTCAGAAGTTTTGCAAAGAAAATAAAACATCAAACGAAAATCAGTACGAAATATGAATATTATTGTGCTTAACTTCTTTAAGATTGAGATTAGCTAATTTGTGGAATGAAAACAATATTAGATTTGCGTCGAATTGCGTCCCTGGGGGAAATGAAGAATATCATGTAAGATTTTTATTTGACAATTGAATAAAATGTGCAAAATTAAAATCGTCGAAAAATGAAAATGGAAGTCATGCTTAAAACTAGACGTAATGAACATAAATTATTTAACATTCCCTCTAAATAAGGTTCAATTCATTAAACATGTATTTATCAAGTTATTTATATAATTATCTGCATTGAAATGTCCCATTTCTATTGCCTCACCTTTACAACCAGTAACAGAATTACATTTTTCCTCCTTACAGTCACAAATTGATTGACAACGTACTCCATGATTTGGTTAAGTACAGTTTTGTTGACAGCCTTGTCCTTTAAAACCCGGTGGACAAGCTAAAAATGCATGTTATTTAATTCATTTCGTACAAGTGATCATGATTAAAATCGACATTTATATACATGTACCAATATTGCGTATATTATTTTGTTTACGCACGCTGTAAGTACCCTGAAATTGCTTTTTCTATTGATTTCAAATGTTAAAAATTCAATTCAAAAATTGAAAGAAAGTAATAATGATATTAACTGTTTGATGGATTCATTAATTCACACTGGTTGAACATCGTAAAGAAAATTTATATACCAATAGAATTTTCTTTGAAAATGATTGATTGATTGATTGCATGTTGTTTAACGTCCCTCTCGAGAATTTTTCACTCATATGGAGACGCCACCACTTGCCGGTGGAGGGATAATTTTGTCCTATGCTCGGCACTTAGGGCCTTTGAGCAGTTATTCTTTTTACGTGCCAGCACCTACTGCGACACGGGGCATCGGTTTATACGGTCTTTATCCGAAAGAAAATTGAAAGAAAGTAATCCATATTAACTACGTAAGGATTCTCTTTGCACTGGTTGAAGCAGACGAAAATTTATATACCATTGCGCCACGCGGGCGACTTTTGAAAATGTAAAGTGTCTACAAAATATATAATTTACATCATCCATATTTTTGTCCACAGATTATAAGAGTTTTAACACAAATCATACAGTCTGTATGGAATAAATAAGTTTTACCAAAACATCCGCTCACGTGATCACAGTATAGCTTGTTACATTTACACTCTGACTGACACTCTGAACCATAGTTTGGGTAGCGACATTGCAATTCGCATCTTAGACCGAAATAACCTACGTCACAGCCTGATATGAAATATATGCTGTTAAAAAGGGAATTATCACCTGATTATCCTTTTAATTCAAAAATATTCATTACATTGAGAGAGAGAGAGAGAGAGAGAGAGAGAGTAACAAATCTAAAACATTAATTATACTTACTGCTAAAATTGTTTGTGAAACATAAAATGTCAGTTAAACAAATATATATTAATACTTCAAAACCTTCAGATAAAACTTTACACATATTGCTCTGTATGTTCCTGGATTGATAGTGATCCTTTTTTAAAATATAAATTAATCCATAACCATAACAAGAGGCAACTGGTTATGGAATCATTAAATTTTTGTTATGCATACATTTTATTTCCTTCCTATTTAAAATTCAATTAATAATTATTTTGAAAACATGAAGTGTAAAAAGGAACTAATAAAAGTTGATCATAAAGTGTTGAAGGTTCTTGAAGAACTTATTGAAAAGTGCATGGTTATTCCCTTGTTGAGAACGTAACAAGTCATTTAAGGTCATACGCAGTTTGACCTTTATTGGGTTCTTCCCTGGAGTTGAGTGCAATACTTTTAATGTCTTTATGAGGATTTGTACACCTCTTCTTAAACAAATTTTGATGGAAAAAATATTTAGAAATTGTTTCGTAATTTTTGTTTATTTTTCTTTGAATATGCGAAAATTTTTATAATTTGATATCTTTTGAAAACTCCTGGTAACGCATGCTGATTTTTTTGTCTAAGAACGCGTAATGGTATTATAAGTTTAAATTTAGAATATCTTGAAAAATTATTATTAGGTAAGGTACCTTGAGCATGTCTTTAATACAGAAAAAATGGAACGTTCCTCAAATTAAAAAGAAGTTTTTTTTATTGCTATTCACCACAAATATCACAACTGGCACTAACATATTTCAATTGACATCCTTAGTTAATAAAGAGAATTTCAAATAAATTAACCAATGTTTAGGCCATCCGCGTGGCAAAGTAGTTATAATGTTGAGGTCGGAGTTGAAGATTTATACGAGGAAAAAAATGAATTGTCTAGACATTACCTAAACACTTTGAAGCAACATTGTAAGAAACAGAAAAAAATACGAGGGCCGTTCAAAAATTACGCGGACTTGTTGCACAGAAGAAATATTTGACGACATAATCGGGCAAAATTTCACAAATAATATAAAAGAATCTTTATTTATATGGTCTCCAAATTTTATATCAAAATATTGTAATTTGGTATTAATTTTGAGTGATTTTTCAGGACATACCATTAAGTCACTGCGCAGCAAAATCTCAGACGTCACAAGTATTATAAAAAAATATGTGATTGAGCTTTCATTTTCTCAACATTTTCCCTTGAGTATCTGTAGAGTTTGAGTTACCTTATCTACTCAACATCAAAACACCATTACTTGTCAAGCTTAAAATCTATTAAACAAGTAAAGAATATTCTTTTTTTTGTTTTAAAACCAAAAACTACTCATGAGATATAGTGTGATATTGGTGACTCTCAATCACGTTCTTTACAGTCCGGATAAAGTTAACTTTTCGTCTGTAATCTTCTTCCCATCCTTCCGTATAACCTTTTTACAGAGGTCTAACTCTCTAAAATTTCAATTTGCTATCTGTGGGCGAATGTCACGAGTAGCCTAGTTTACTACATGTTTTATTATGCATATTTTGGATCTATGTTGCCGATATCTCGAGCATTACACATATTTTAACAAAAATGTGGTGCACCCTCAATTCAGGAGACGTCATTTTCACAGTCGTTTTCACGGGTATTACATCAGAGAAAAATCACTATATTTCTGTTAGTACTTTAAATATTAAGTTCGAAATCTAACTACATAATAATATAACAGTTTAAAGGTATATTTGAGAAAATTGTTGAAAAATATCGCAAAATTTAGAAAATCAATGAGTTAAATTTTTGAATCCGCATGCTTAAAAATGCTTCAATTTTTTTTGTCTTGCGCCGTACTTCTCCATCAACGATATCAATATACCAATAATATTAGTAGAATTTTTTTAAGATACAGAAATTTTGCCCAAAATTTATTGAAATCTTTAAGATACATATTTCTGTGAAATTTTATAACTATATGACGTCTGTAAGAGTAAATAATAGCACAGTCGGCGTAATGTTTGAACGGCCCTCGTATATATATACTGTTGTCATCACCCAGGTTTAATACCGGGTAAGTCTTGAATGAATTAGCGCTATGTTACAACGTAAAAAGTAATAAGAATGCATAATGTAATATAGTGGTGTTATTATACTTTATGTCATTTCATTTTGCGTCGGGATCATCGCAAAATATAATAACGCAAAATGCAATAATCCTGGTTTATGACATTTTGTGTTATTACAATTCGCGGTATATCAGTGCTACCTTAAAAGTGTTGCTTACAAACTTTACAATTCTACTAAAAATATTATAGTTCATAATGAAGTAAAGTTTTTAGAAGTGATAATCTTTCTTTTTTTCGTTAAGACGTTGGCACAATAAATATCCCTCACTGCTATATGGCGGTAAATGCAGAGAAAGGTCACAATTTGAATCCCTTCAATGGTATAATTATGTTGACGTCACTTTATGAGTGCAATATTCTCGAATGGCACGTAGAACAATATACAATCAATCAACAATTCCGAAAGTAGAAACTTCATATAAGACCTTTATTTTACATTTACTATTTCTAAAATAAGTCAAGAAAACAGGCATCATACGAATCTCAGATATAGACACGTGGTACATCAGTCTTAAATCACCCAATGGTCTTTTGTTTATAGAACCCAATTCCTTTCTCTTACTTTTTACAATGTCAGTACTCTAGTCACACTTTTTCCCGAGCTGTTGCATTGTGAGTGACAATTTATTCCAAAAGATGTAAAAACCGCACTTTTGTTGATATTCTTTTTCTGTGAAACTCTTTGAACAACTCGGAGAAAATATTTTAATGAAATATCTTTAATAAAATAACTTTGTTTGCCAGATACAATGGCTTTAATAAAATATGGATGAAAGGCTCTTGGAAACAGTGTTGATTTTAGTTCTAACAAATCAATGTATCCACAGATACATGTACAGCAGGACGTCAATATGAAGAATACAGAGGCAATTTATAAAAAAAAAATACCCCTTAAGCTTTGATGAAGTATATGGAGATAGCAAACAGTATTCAATCTCAAAGTCCATAAAACAATACAAAATAGGAGCAGAGCAAACACAGGCCGAAACATCAGAGGTTGAATCAGGTGCCACGGAGGAGTGAGCATCCCCTGCCGACCGGTCACACCCGCCGTGTGCTCCTTGTCATGATCAAGAAATAACGGAAAAATCAGTCGTCAATTCAGTGTATAAATAATGGACTAACAATTGGTATGAAAAACTTCAGTCAGCATTTGACTCAATGATAAATTGTATTTGACAGGTCATTATATCGACCATAGAACTTACCAAATAATGACTTTAAAAGAGACTGCTGATATTCTTGTTTCATCAACTTGCTTGTCAATAAGTATCCTCGGTTTAGAAAATGTTCATACGTAAAGCATGCTCTTCCGCATGATGAAGGTATATTGCTGCAGAAGTTGACGGGAAGTTGACGATAGAAAAGTTAAAGTCATCACGTTTATCATATAGCTTGGTCATTAGATTACCAATAACGTCTTTCTCAAGTAAATAACCAAGTATGAAACAGATGTTTCAGACTCTGTGGTATCTTTTATCTCAAGCTCATTAGGATATATCGTATCGACGTAGATATATATAAACGGCGTCGGATATATAAACGTTATATTTTACAAAAAGGTGATATATGTTTTATGATAATGTTATATATATATTATTCATTTAAAATCCAGTTACTGTTGATATATTTTCTTTCTTCACCTGCACAACCATTGATATAATCACACTTTTCTTGCACATAGTTACGCGTTGATTGACAACAGTAACAATAGATAGAATACTGTTTCTATAGAAATATCTTTAAACATTTGGAAAATCCTATCAAGATCAAAGAAAATAACGTTAAATGTCCAATACTTTGAATCCAACCTTATATATATAGAAAAATTCTGTACATATGCAACATAGTATTTTATTATTTTTTTCATTTAAAAAAAAACATAATCCCTTATTTCTAGACTAGCATATGACTAAAATAAGCATAATACAGTAAACGGGAATTCCCCCATAATTTTCAGTCTCTGCATTGATTATAAAATCATTGTCTGCCAAAGACTCTCCCGTGAGGATCCGGGTAAGAATAGGTCCTCAGTACCCCCTTGCTTGTCGTAAAAGGCGACTAAATGGGGCGGTCCTTCGGATGAGACCGTATAAACCGAGGCCCCGTGTCACAGCAGGTGTGGCACGATAAAGATCCCTCCCTGCTCAATGGCCCTGAGTGCCGAGCATAGGCCCAAATTTGCAGCCCTTCACAGGCAATGGTGACGTCTCCATATCAGTGAAATATTCTGGAGAGGGACGTTAAACAGTATTGAATCAATCAATCAATCTGCCAAAGACCCATAGTGTAAAGAACCATTTGGCACAGCCATATTCAATTGTTTTCGGGAAGTGTAATATAAGGAGAGCAGTTTATTTTAATTACATTTTCCTGTTCTTAGAATTGTGCTTTAAATGCCTATTAACAGACAGATGTGTATATATATTTTTAACTAGCATCAACAGTTGCCTCATTACTAGAAACCGACTACAGAAAATATCCACTGGATACCCTTTCAAAATGATGTCTTTTTTCAACATGCTGTATATGTTTTCAATCGTTTATACCACATGCAATATTTCTTTTCCCTTAAATTGCAACTATGTAACAATTATGAACGTCAGAATTACAATATGTGTGCCGCTTTTATTGTTTTTAACTGCTTTTATGCTAAATCATAAATGTTTCCCTTTAAATTTTGACATTTTGAATGTCATCAGATTTTAAATTCTTGCAAATAATACATAAATACATGTATTTAACGAACTATTCCTGGTTCACATCACTCAATCGAATTTAATGTAATTGTTTGCTGGATGAATAATAAACAAGTTCAACTTCAAGGACACAAGTTACTTAAATAAATAGAATATCTATTTCACATCTTTGTGATGTACATCACCTGATATTTGCAGAGAATTGAAAAAGTATAGAAAATAGTCAGACTGAATGACTGCAATAAAACCAAGTACGATAGTGCTAGAAAGGATGGTGTTTGTTGAAACTTTTCTGCCTTGTATCGAGGTACAGTTGTTTGCCCCACCTTCTATGAAGAAAGTCTGTCTTATCAGCATTGAATTCTTTTAAATCATATAAAACAGTAAATGCTTCACAACCAACTAAAGAAATTTTTGCAAATCTTAAAAATATGTATTTTTTTTCATTGTCTTTTTGGTCAAATAAACTTAATTTTTTACAAAAAAGTGATATATGTTTTATGTTTTATATATATTATTCATTTATAATCCAGTTACTGTTGATAAATCTTTTTAACCTGCACAACCAGTGATATAATCACACTTTTCTTGCACACAGTTACATGTTGACTGACAATTTTCACCATAACTTGGATGTGTACAATTATATTCACACACCATTCCTCTGGAACTCTGTGGACACCCTGTGAAAAAACATCTATCAAAAAGTTGTTTTCTTTTCCTTTATGCTCTCCTGTCTCTACGATATGAACACACAGTGGCCAGTAGTTTCTCTAAGAGTACTTTTCCGATTATTCTGTTTTGTCAATGAACGAAAAAAGATGATAATTATAAACAGCCATTTATCTGAAAAATATCTATAAACAATACAAAACTGTGAAAATGAAAGTAACAATTAATTCTAGAAATGATTTACTGTCGTACGTATGGTCTTTCGGAGAAGCGCTGACTTTTACAAAAGTTGACGGCTTACTTTTACGCTAGGACAATGTGAGAAAGCTCTTTTACTATATAAATATTGGGCTCAACATTTAATTTAACGAAAATAACGGGTTATTTCAATGTGAAAGTTATTTGCCCTTAAACAAAACGAAAACAACCCTACTCTCAACTCCCGGTTTGCACATGTAAGTGTCCCTAACACCATACATATGACCACTAAAAAGGGTTTCTTATGTTCTATCAATTCTTACCTCCGTCCATGATACAAATTTAAATGTCTAAGTAAAAGGTTCACTGTAGAAGTCAGTGCTACTCGTACAAGTTCATATATAGCATATCACTGAGAACGCCTTTCTAATTCCAAAAATAATACTGTATTTTGAAACTTAAAACTGTCTATCCAGAACGAAACAATCTGAATGACAAAAGTGGTTTTGAAACTTTAAAGTTCACAGTGTTCTTAAATTTAAAATTACTTCCAGTGACACAAAAGAGTAGTCACGGGCATCAATCGTACAATTAACACTCGTTTGAATTACTAGTTACTTAATGTAAATAAATACTTAATTCTTCACCATATCTGCAATTTTACTCTTTCTCTCTCTCTCTTTTCTCTCAAATTGTTCTAAATGGTCTATTTAAAAGGAATATTCATATATACATTCTTCTACTTGGATAATAGTATTACGGATATTAAAAATCACATGTATTTGAAATTTTCACGGATGAGAATTGGTCCAGAAAACATGCAAAAACAAAGGAATAGACTTAGTTAATATCAGTAATATTCCAAAACACAAATTGGTCCAGTCCTGCTTTCAAGCATATTTCAAATGTAAGTCCACATCTCGTATTTTAAAATACAATTATTCATCAAAGATTGGGATCAAACTTAAGAATATGTGAAACTGGAATTAATTCTGAGATAATAAAAAATAAATTCTTTCATGAAATCAGAACACCTTTGTTCCATTTTTCCAGAAAAATACAATAAAATTTCACGAAATAATCATCTACGAGGGTTGTCCCAAAAAGTCGTAGACAGGGAAAATAGTTTAGTTTCTCTTTGTTAAATTAAATTTCTTTCCTTGTCACAGCAAAAAGTAACATTATATGATCATGTATTTCAAGTTTCATGATCATATAACATTTTATAAGAAAATTATGAAAAAATAAAGAAAGCATCTAAGTGTACATAGGCGCACGAAAGCAAGCGTAATTTACGTCTCATATAACGTAATGTTCTCTTTTTCTGCTTCACACGCGTCTGTTATCATTTGATAATTTTTTTAAGTGAAAGACCACTCTTGACTTAGGGATTTATTTTACTTCACTACTGTCCGTGTTTTTTTTTAAGCAGATTCAAGTTTCAGTCGAAAATTAGTGGAAAGATTGCGTTACATTGTAGGCAGCAGAGAATACACATTGTTTGACGTCGTTAGTAGCCCAAAACGTTCCCCACTTTCTGTGTTTAACAAACAGTACTCTAGCTACTTCTTACATGCATGCTGTAACTATTTTTGGTATGGAGGAAAAAATCTAATTGAAGCTCTTGGCATTTAAAACAACTTTTGTATTAAAATCTAGTGTGTAATATCACTTTTGTACCTTTTTTGTCTCTGATGTATAGAAATAATATCCAAAACAATTTATTACATCTCCGTGCGCCGGTAACGCGTTTGACGACGTCATTTTCATCAAACTCAATTCCAACAACACTTTGAAAATAATAACACCAATCATCCTTTTCTAATGCTATTTATGTGAAATTTTAACATATGATTAATATTTTGATTTCACTGATCTAAATTTGAGTTCCATGTTTTACTAAATACTAGAGAAATAAAAGCAAATGTAATAGTTATATGCGTAAATTATTCCAAATTTTGTTGGTGCGCCGACAGACAATATCAGCCTTCATATAAATCGTCCTAATAAAATTAATTTGAAGGATATAAATTTAAGAATTCACATTTTTAAGGAGCATTGAATATGTTATGTCTATGCAAAATTTTGTTAGTATTGGCTGCGTTTTTAAAAAGTTATGAACATTGTCTACGACTCTTTGGGACAACCCTCGTATATGTATATGCGAACCATATTCGTATGTGAATTAATTCTGAGATAATGAAAAATAAACTCTTTCATGTAATCACAACACTTTTGTTTTTTTTTTTTTTTTTATAAAAATACAATAAATTTTCACGAAATATTCATCTATGTGAAATTCCATAATTATGCTGTGACTGTGTAGGGAATAATTTTGGGTGCATTCTATGAAAGGAAAAATTATCAACAGTATTTCCTTACATTTTCTTAATATGTTAGAGTTTCCTAAGTTTTATGCAGAACATCTGTATTTTAAAGGAGGAATCAATGCATATATTTGAAACAATATAAAAAAAATAAATAAATAAAATAAATGGCATAAATTTGTATCTTACATCAAAACTTTGTGTTATACAATAAACGAGAATTGTTGAAAATCTTGAAATCTCTAAATATTGTGAAGTAAGGAATGTTTTTGGGATTTAAAATCTATTTTGTTTTAGGCACATGCATTAAGAGACCAATGCACCTGTGTCCATCATGTAATGTTAAAAAGTACATAATTAAGTACTCAACAACTCTCCATCCACGATGATAATTCCCTATGAACCAAGAGTTTTCTCCTAAAAGCACAAAAGTTTGACCCCACGAAAATATGTGATAATACAGTAATGAAAGATCAAGCAATAACTTGACAACAGTACTCATGTGTCTCAAAACAACAATGTTATTTATTAATACCTGTAAGAATCCCTTTCGTACGTAAATTGTTATTCACGGAAACTCTTTTTCTCTGCATTTACATTCTGACGAGCAATTTATACCAAAAAATGGATATGAGCATTTTTTTGACTTGACTCTCCTTGGGAAGCAGTCGAGAGTGACACTCTAGAAAAAAGAATAAATATGACAAATGGACGAAAAGTATATATTTTACAGATTTTCTAAGCTATTAAATTTACTCGTTGTCCTAAAATGCTAAAATTCATTTTCGATTATTTTGTTTACCAGTTTGTGATTTTCTATTTCACAGCACATTTTCTATCTATGATGGATTCAAAGAGTAACATATTTATAAATTTTTGGATGCCGCCTGTAATAAAAAAAATATCAAATTAATTATCCATTTATCTACAATTGTGAATAAAAGCAACACAAAGAAAACAAACAAAGGGTCTTAACTGGATTTTTCCATTCTACAGTTAACGTTTATTAACAATGTCGTCATTCGCTTTCTGTACTCCCCTGATTCCACCATGTCCTCAAGTGTTGTGTCTCATGCATCACACAGGAAAACCCATTATAACCAATAAAGTGTGACATTTAAAAGTCCCTAAAACAACAAAAGAGTTTGGTCACCTACAATTTTAAAGGATTTTCTACTTTTTTTTTAATTCTAGCCATAAAAACCAATAACATCAAAATAGTTCAACTTGTATCCCAGGTCCATGATGTTTTAAACTGAAACGAGTCCACCCAAGACAATCCACTCCGTAAATTACCTGTGTGATCCGAAATCCTCAAAACAACAGCTTATTAATAATTTGTAATAATAATCATCCTTAAGGCTTCTGTACCTATTAGATATATATAAAAAATAATTCCGATTTTTTTTTTAAATATTTGAAATTTGGCATACATTTATTCATTCCCATTATATTAAAGGCAGTTTTACAAATAATCTTGCTCTTTAAAACTAAAAACAATTCTTAAATGAGAATACTTACTTAGCTGTAGCATTTCATACGAAGAAAGCATCGTGATCTTCACACACACTGAGTAACCGAGGCCAAAGATTACGCAGCAGAGGAAACAAGATATTCTAATGTTTTATAGGCATTGGTTACAATTATAATATACGCCCAAGATAATTAAGCTCAAGTAATATTTACATCGCAGCATCAAGATGTTATTTGCAAACTACCAGCGAATAGCAGGAATATAAAAAAAACTATCCCAATTAATAATAAAAAAAAGTACAAATATCTGTAAATCAAGAAATGTAAATTAACATAGATTTGCATACAACTCAGTGACCAATAGAACGTAAAAGTGAAATTTTCAAATTCCCTTAACCTAAAATGAAGGCAACTTGTAGAAATACAAGCAATAAAAATATTTAAGAAGTCTGCAAAATGACAATGGTGACTCTATAGTGCCTTGAAACTATTTATAAACATGTAAGCGTTTATTACCAGTGGTAAAATTCAAAACGTCACTGAAACTAGGTCGCACATGTAAACCAGCATCATTGAGATTGTGCAATTAATGCATTTCAATTATCTTAAGATTATGGCATCACAGTTTGCTTCACTTACTTTCACAACCAGTAACATAATTACACTCCTCTTTTCTGCAGTCACATTTTGACTGGCATTTTTCACCATAGTATGGATATGAGCAATTTTGTTGACATGCCTTTCCTTGGAAACCAGGTGGACATTCTAGGAAAAAATAATAAATTTCTTGCATTTGTTTTTTTTTTCAATTTTTACAATTTCTCTTATGACAGGTTCAGATTTTATAGATGTTCATTGCAATCAGAATGAATTATAGCTCCCTTTCTTTATGTGTACAGCGTCAAGGAAACTATTTATAAACATGTAAGCGTTTGATACTATTAGTAAAACTCAAAACTTCACTGAAACTAGGTCGCATATGTAAACCAGCATTATTGACATTGTGCAATTAATGCATTTCAATTATCTTAAGATTATGGCATCACAGTTTGCTTCACTTACTTTCACAACCAGTAACATAATTACACTCCTCTTTTCTGCAGTTACATTTTGACTTGCAATTTACACCAAAATATGGATACGAGCAATTTTGTTGACATGTTTTTCCTCGGAAACCAGGTGGACATTCTAGGAAAAAATAATAAATATTTTTGCATTTGTTTTATTTTTCACCGTACAATTTCTCTTACAACAGGTTCAGATTTTATAGATGTTCATTGCAATCAGAATGAATTATAGCTGTCTTTCTTAATGTGTACAGCGTCAAGGAAAAGAAAATGAACTAAAATATAGCCATTGCATTATTTGAACCTTAAATTGAAATCATTATTTTAGAATTAAAAAAAATGAAACATCATTCAATGTTTCTAAGGACTCTTTATATTTTTTCTTTATCAGTCTACTGTATGATGTTGAGTTACAAAACCAGAAATCTAGGTTTGCTTAGTACTAATGCACGTCCAAAATTGTAATGTTATTTTGTATTTAAAACATGCCATACAATATGAAAAAATACTAATACCTTGACATCCATTTACATGATCACAAAATTCCTCGTTACATCGACACCCTAACTGGCAATTGTCTCCAAAGTTTGGGTAGCGACAGGGAATTTCACATGCAAAACCAAAATATCCTACATGACATTCTGAAATAAATTTTTAAATTTAATTGTATTGGCATATTAGGGTATGTACATGTACGACAATCTTCTTAACCCAATATAAGCAAAAAATAAATAAATAAAATAACGGCGCATCTACAATTTGTATAAGTTCACACTGAAAAGGAAGTATATTCAGCTTGTATAGGGTCCAATCAAAATAGCCAAGCCTTTGGTCTTTTTTTCATTTTATATATATTGCTTGATTGTATCATGCTATACTTCCGCTGCATCCCCTGACATGATGACAATTATGTTGTTCACAATTACATGTTGACTGACAACCCTCTCCGTAGCTTGGGAAGCTACATTCAAGGTTACAACTGGAACCGAAATATCCGGCTGGACAAACTAAAATAAAATCGTCAACATTAGTAAAGAAATATTAAAAATAGAAAGTATTTCACCAAAGGTTTAAGGTCGGAAGTTTGGATGTTTTCTCTGAGTTATTGAGCACTTCTGATTTATTGTTTGCAAAACAAAAAATGATTTCTAGTAAAAAGAAAATCATTTATACATTTTATGTTAAAATACACTAAAAGTAACAAATAGATTTTATATAGAACACAATAATATAATTGGTTGATATATTATCCACCAGGTATTTAACTGTCAAAGGTCTTAACTATAAAATGTCATTTTACATTAAGAGCTCGTTTTAATGGTTCTATGATGCTTGTTACAACAATCCTTTCATGGAAAACATAGATCAAAAACCTTATTGACAAACAGAAGTTCCTAACGGGAGGTTAAGATCTGTTGTGAAGTCACCTTAAAAAAATATTATCGATTATATCTAATTATGAAGAGAATTCAAACCTTAATATTTTTTCCATTAGTAGAAGCCAAAGGCATAATATATCTTTTAACATTTAAGAAATAAAATTCATAGTAATTTTTCTATTTATATGCATATTTAAAAAATAAAGAAAAATCAGATATTTTATTTATTTTTTAAGGACGTTAAGTGACCTTAGTAACGAAGGCTAAAATATTGCCAGTGTACAGGTATTAGTAATTTGTTGTGGGAAAAAAAATACTCGGGTTTGTTCATTATGAGATATAGATGTAAGCGATAGACTTTTTTTCGAAGATGATTTCACGCGATATGAACAAAGGATTATTTTTTTGTGTGACCAAGCAAAAATTATTTTTTTAACTTGAAAATTTTGATATCTCTTAAAAGAAAAAGACTTAGGGGAAACAATTTATTGACAATTATTTTTCAAGTAAAAAAGGACTATATTTTTCTAGCAATTAAAATCGGACTAAGTGGCTTTTAGTAAGAAAAATTGTAATGAGAATTTATATAATGTTTTTTTTATCGAAAGTTCGAGTTTTCAAAAACAAAATCGTTTGTAAGTAAATAAAAAACAATTGTTTCTTAAATAGTTTTTAATCTTCAACTTCTAACTGTTGCATAGTTTACAAATCAATGGCTAGCAACAGTTACTATATAGTTTACAAATTTAAAGTTAACAATTGAATAGTTTATACATTAAACGCATAGTCAGACTACACATTTTGACATAACACTGGATGGAAATATTTTTTAAGGATAAGGTGCCATATTTTTGCGAGGAAAAGTAGTCATCATTTAGAGTTAACTGTCTTTACTTGGTTTTTATTACCTGGTATGATAATTTGAACATTTTCAGCATCTTCTATACAACTGCTAAACCATAGTCGGAAACCCACGAATGATCTCGTCTTTACTTACCAACCGTGGGCAAACTCGCTCAAAAATCGTCGTATGTAATTAAATATGCATGGATCATTTGATTGGCCGTTTCAAGGAGTCGCGATGCCAAACAACTAATTACAGCTCACGTTACGTATGCATGTTCGGCATTGCCAAAAACATGAAAAACTCATTCCGTAGTTAACACAGCTGATAAATCCACTCACCGGTGCATTTTGCAGTAAGAAAGAGGTACTCCTTCATAATATCTGACGATATCAATGTCAGTGACCTGTATGAATTGACTTTCATTGCTTTAAATCAACTTTGCACGTTTTAACAAGTTTCAAAATATTTCCATAAATAGCAAAGTAATAAACTTAATATCCAAAATTGAAGAGTTCCAACTTTCTGATTGGTTGACTGAAAACAACAAATTAGCATATTTTACAGCGATATTTCGGCGAGTTTACCCACGGGTGATAAGTAAAGACAAGATGGGTTTCCGACGATCCTGCTAAACCAATGTTAACCAATTTTGGCATAAAGCATATATGTGTATAAGGGAAACAAAAACAAAAATTGCGTTTCATGGTCCCCCAATCCCAGGGAACCTGAGGGTGTGGCCAAAACCACTAAAAGCCATGTAATCTTTAAAAACGTCTTTACTCCTACAAATCAAGCAGTAAAAGTGTTGGCATGAATGTAATAAGCGTTGAATTCTCTATCATAATTGTTATTTTCAATGCCCAAGGGCCAGGAGTATTGGTGTTAGGACGGGGCTCTATTGATATTACAGTAAAAATGCATTATTTATTTAAATATCTTCTTTTCTGCTCCTTGGTCTTTAAACAAACTTACTACATGCATAATTATAATGAAGAGGGGTGTCTCATCTAAAACAGTGAATTCCATGGCCTAAGGTCAGAAGTTCTGGTGTCAGGATGGGACTCTATTTGGTTATAAAGTGAAAACACATTAATTCTTTGAAAATCCTTTCTTCCCGAATTGCGTATTTCAAGGCCCCTGAATAAGATATTCCATAAAGGGCGGGGACCTCTAGTCATATATTGAAAATGAAATCTGCTCCTTGATATCAACATCAATAATGAGCCAGAGTGCCTTTTCTAGAATTATAAAATGCGTGGACCTACGAACCGGTGTTCATGTGGGGTGTGACACTACTGTTTATTACTGAATATCACTGATTAGTTGAAATGAACTTTTTGTTTCCCAACTCAGCCTATGAATATAAAGTAATCAAAACTAACGTCTTTTGTTCCCCTACTCTGCCAATGAGTATTAAGTAACCAACCTAAACAGGATACATGTTCGAGGGATGATAAAAAAAATCGCGAACTATCTCTATATAAACAAAACCACAAATCAGATCAGAATGAACTTTGGTATACATAGACACGTACACATGCTCTATATATAACATATGAAACGTTTTGATCCATGTGTTTTACACCAAAATGTAAAAATGACGTCAATATGTAGATCACTTGTGACGAAAATGGTTGATTCAGTCGTATTGGAGAAAAGAACGGCTGTAAAGTTAAACGTATATATCGGAAATTCCTTTGCATGAGATTCTAATACTTAGTACACGGTCTATGAAGACAAAAGACTTGCCAGAAGTTTTGTCATTAATTGTCATTAATTGGATCGATTGTTCTAGTGAGGGAAGAGGAGATAATTGATTTTGATATTTGTTCTGTTGCCAGTTGAAACCAAGCCGAGGAAAAAACGTGTCCTTTGTTCAGTAATTTGATATGAAAGATCGCTAAATTACAGTAAAAAAATAGTTGAATATCTTTACAATAATACTTTTAAATCCCTAAAACATCCTTTACTTCAAACTTTAAACATAGATATGATAAAAAGAAGGCACCCATACTTTATCTACATTGAATAAAAGACGCTCCAAAGACATAGGACCTGGGTTTTGATGGTCACCATGCTCATTCTGGAAAAGGATTTCATAACCCACCGATACTATTGCCAAGATTTTGCCATTTTTGACAATTGCACTGTTTCTGTTGTAAAAATATAACTTGCATGATTAGAAATGAACGAGTCAGAAAAATCTTTAAGCTTTTGTGACAAAACACTAAGGAGCATATCACATGACCACGTGACCAGCGCGTGGGCAGAACGGTTGCAGATGCGCGTTAAAATAGGAAAGCACCAGTTTGAAATTTTTTAACACCGAAATCTTATACTGACACGCAAAAGAAACGCAACACCCTACTTTAGGGGGGGGGGAAATTATGTGAAGTAGAGAATTTTGTATCTTAAAATTATGAATATATTCAAATTGGTATACATTGGTAATTTAACGGTTGAAAGATTTCTATACCATAACCGGAAGTCAAGTTTGAGTCTGCTTAACAGAAATAAAAAATTGCATGTCTAATAAAACATTTGGCAATATTATGGAGTGTTAAATGTTTTCTACTGTTCATCATAAGTAGTGCAGCAATATTTCATAAAATAAACTCTCCTTTCGTTTCCCGTAACGATGCTAAGGCTACTTGAAAATGGCTTATGTACGCTATTCCATTGCTCTAGCTGGACAATTTCATTGTAAAGGTGATGGAGAGGTGCTGATGCAAAATATCACTACATTACGCCTCAACAGGGTCTTACGTATCATATGCATTAAGGACAGTCCTTGTACCGGGAGTCCAAGTGTGTCTACACTGCTTTAAGTTAGAGAAAATTCGACCTTATCATCTGAAAAACGGGAATTTAAAAATGCCCAAGAAAAATTTCCTTCGCTTAGATCTCGATATTACTGAACATATTGTATCGTAGAAATTTAGCTGCGATTGTTGTTTAGGACAGTCTTGCACGTTTTACTTGAATGGCTGGGAGGGGCTGTTTTAACAGTCATATTTTACTTAGTAAAGTAAACAGATAAATATCTAACATTTTTATCAAATCTCTGATGTTCTGAAAAGTGAGTTTAGCCTTACATTTTTCGCATTTGAAAATCATAAGAAAAAAATTAAAAAAAAGTGTAGATAACTGCATGTTGCGTTTCTTTTGCGTGTCAGTATATATCGTTTCTTTTTGGAAGTTATTCAATTAGATCTCGATTTTTTTTTATTTCCCCTCGTATAGATATGATGAGCAGTGGTGCCTCTTCAAAACTGTGAATGTCATGGCCTCTGGTTTGAAACATGAAGCATATTCAATTATTGGAAAGTGGTTGCATGATGCTCAGGTGACCTATTAGGCTCATGTTCTCTTGTTTCTTACACAGCGCTATAGAACTTCATGTGTACGCAAAATG